TAGGTTAACGTTCATTCAAATTTGTGTTAAGCACTTGCCACCAATTTTTTATCGTTAGAGAAATTTTCTTAATAAAAAAATAAACTAGGCATCCAGCTGTGTGAGTTGAAGGTTTGACTGATTTTCAGTTGTCACTAAAGCCAAAAGTGCTTACAGAATTAGCTTTATTTTTGTATCTTTTGCGCGTTAAAAATTAGCTTTTAATTTGGAGCTGTCACCTATATCATATAACAAGGTAAACAACTATAACTGATAATATCTTTATCCATATCATATTCATTGCATTTGATAATATGATTAATTATTATACATTGTTGAGTACAATATTGAAATTTACTGGAGAGTGCAAAGCTGCAAAAACTATATAAGACGAGGCGCTTAACAACAACAACAAAAACAACATAAGGTTTTTTTTATCTTTTTATTTAATTGATTAACAAGTATATTCATTGTGAGAAGGATGTGCATATATTCATATATTTCCAAACATATTTGTTTTTTTTTTTTTTTTTTTTTTTTGTTTTTATTATAGACTTTGATATTTTAATTAACGTGATCTTGACCGCCTCAAACATGTATGCTTATCTAATACATGTGTGAAACATGACAATCAATGAATTAAAAACATATGCGCAATGTTCAGGTTCGAAATTCAAGTATAATTTAGAATTATTCAACTGAACGTAAATACGTGACCTCATATTTGCAAACGTTAGCTTAATGTGAGTATAACTGCAGTTTTATTTCTCAAGGGCTTTGTGATCTTTTAGAGGACATTGAACTTGTATGATTATTTCGACTCATTTGCTTCACCATACCAACTTGCTGAAAAGTTATGAAACATCCGCGCAAGATAATCTGTATGCCACCAATTTAATATCATTTAAGTATGTTTCTTCCTAAACGTCTACAGTATATGTGATTTTTTTTTTAAATTTTCGATAGTACAATAGACTGCGCAATATTTATATTATATTTAGTTTTATATGACTTGTGCTTGTTGTGTAAATACCAGCTTAATGGTTTGAGATATGTGGTCAATTTGGACAACAAGTTTTAAGCTGAAGAATCAAATTTAAGTTAAAAGTTCAACAAAGACGAACTACATCATTAATTTTTTTTCCATTTTATTTTTATATAACCTAATCTTTCACAATGATTTCCTAAATCTGCAATAAAATATATAGTAACCTTAGTGCAGTAACGGTTTAACTCCTATTAAATTTAATAGGAGTTAACCTTTTACTGCACTTAGATGACAGTATCTAATAAAAGTCCAAGATTAGCTAGGTAAAATCCAAACGCCAAAGAAAAAAATGTCATTGTTATAAGTCTCTCCAAACGTTTGTATGGTCTATTTTATTTATTTATTTTAGATCTATTTGAATGAATGTAAATATTTGTCATGCAATTTTGTCTGGATAATTGAAATCCATAGCGAGAAAAGAAGACACATGTACGGGCGCGTTAGACTACTCTATGTGTATTTATACACAATATGTATTTTCTGGCCATTTTTTCAAGGTTGCATCAAGGTAATATGTTAAAATGAAAAGTCTTACTGGGATAAACACGTTAAAACAATAAGTCACAGCTTTTTAAAGCGGCAGCATTTTATAAAACGGTCGCTGAAAATGGGCCGTTACTGGCACAGGTCATCCAACGATACATTAGACATTTTATTTTACAAAACGAATTAGTGACTACATAGAGATATGCATTATCTTGTAATTGATATTTCTTAAATAGAGTAATTAAACATTCCTTAAAAGCTTAGTATTTTTAACATTCAGTTCACAAAGATCATTGTTAATCAGACATTAGATAAAGATTGTGTTCGTTTGTCGGTAAAAGAGGCAGTATGTCCTAAATTAGGACTATAGAAAAAAAACACTCAATACAATGAAATATAGAATTTTTAGCAATGCTTACATAACAATGACATAATAAATTGTGGGAGGAAGTATGGTTAAACAGAACTTAAATATCTTAGAAATTTAACCAGAAAATTAAATTGATTTTAAGAAAGAACTATCCTGTACATTATATTTGAGAACTATCCTAAACATTTTATTTTATAATGGCAAGAACTATCCTTTTTACTTTAGAACGGCCAATGAGATTCCCGGATTTCAATTTGTTATTTAAAAGTGACCAATAAAAATTGTTATTTTATTCAGTACTTCACTGTATATTTTACTTGAAGACAAACTGATTTCAGACGGCCTTCGGCGGGAAAAACAAAATCTTTAAATCTTTAAATATTTAAAATAATTTCCAAACAAATGCATTTGATAAACATCTGTACGCCTGCAGAAATTACAAATAAACACTTTTCAATGTATCTAAAGGTACACACTTGATTAATAGTCTACCCGAACAATGTTATTGTGTAAAATCTGTTTTCTTTCGTGCGTTTGTGGTTTTAATTATTATAGAAAGCGGTTAGGTTGTCGTCTTAAAGTTTTGAATTATTATTTTGAATAACGATATTGAAATTACTTAAATAAATTTAATATCAGCAGCAAAAACATTTAGCAAGATGAGCAATAATAATCCTCAACATAATCGTGTCTCGGTGATATATTAGAAGCTTAAAATATTTATGTCAAGTTAGGTTTAAAATAACACACTTTTGTTCTCTTTCTTTGAAATTTTGTTTAAAAGTTACAATCAACCGCGCCATATGAACTGAGAAATTTAATTTAAACATTTAATTGTTGCCTGTGAAAACCCGGCTGTATACTAAATACAGCTTCCTAGTTAGCGTACAGTGATTACACGATAGTACATGTTGATACAGTAAATTTATTTTGACACTGTTAAATTGGAAATCACATTTGATTATATATTTCGTTTTTCTAAACCGCTATTTGCGAAAAATTAGATTAAGCAAACATGGCAGCTGATACAGTAAGTATTTTTGTCAAACTTTATCGCTAAATTTCATGAAATTTGACAACTAAAGAATGCATGTTTCATGCATGGTACTTTGCACGTAGTTTATGTTGTTTTTTTATGTTTTATCTATCTCAAATGTACACATGCGCACTTAAATTAAATGCAAGTAACTGATACTGCTAATCATTTATTATAATTTAAAGACATAATCTTTAGTACAAGATTTGTGATTATTTCATTGCATTAAGTATCATTTTGAACTTGACATATTAATTTTTACAACCTATCGGTATTTTTCTATTGAACACAAACTTGTCAATAATCTGTACTTTTAATATGTCAGGATTCGTATTGTAACACAAATATGCTATAACGATTATTGTATACCACAAATAAAATACCAAAGTAAATATTTGTTTTTACATGTTACATTTACACTGTGTTAAACTTGCTGCAAATGTTGAAGGCAAACGCTGCGTACATTTTATATCTTGCTGTAATCTGTTAAATTAAGTAATCTAAAATAACTAAAAATTAATGAGTGATTTTATTAATTAATTAATTAATTAATTAATTTATTTATTTATTTATTTATTTATTTATTTATTTATTTATTTATTTATTTATTTATTTATTTATTTATTTATTTATTCATTTATTTATTTATTTATTTATTTATTTATTTATTTATTTATTTATTTATTTAATCATTCAGTCAGGCATTCATTTCTTAGTGCTTTTTTTATTTGTTTCAATTAATTAATGTTTTAATGTCATTGAATAGTTTTCACTCAAACAAGCAAACTAAACAGTCCATTTTGGAAAATTTCAAGACTTTCAAGGGCATAACACTGTCATATCATAAAGCTCATGAATTGTTCAACAGAACGGAACCCCTTTTGCGAATAAAGCAATCAAAAATGTTGTAAATGCTGTTCAATCAATTTGAATGTTACACACAATTCAATGATTTAATATTATTATATATTATAAATATTTTAAATAAATAAAAATGAATTTACACCAAGAAAAGATATAAAGTATAGGTCCTTTCAATTAATGTTCATAAATTTCATACTGGAAGCTAAAAATTATTTAGATTGCATGTAGATTAAAAATTAATAAATTGTGCCGAAAACAAGAAAACCATTATTTCAAAGTGCTTAATAACAAAATAAGCGGAAAATCACAGTAAAGGAGATCCGTGCTTGTTTTAAAGAAAACAAATATGGAAACGAATCAAATGTGTTTATTTTGACAGTTTGTCATCGTTTAAGCATAAAAAGTTAAAACATTTTTTGATTATATTACAATGGATGATAGGAAGTTTACAGTGATGTCTTTTCATCTTTAGTTGTTGTTGTAGTTGTTGTTGATTTGTCTTAGGTTTTATCCACCTTTCTCATTTGTTTTCGTAGTTTAGTTTGGTTGAATTAGCAGTTTGGGTTATTAAAATTGTGATTGATCAATAACTGATAATGAAAAATTATCATTTTACAACATAAAAACTACCTAAATTATGAAACGAATGCCCCACGCTTTTAAGAATTGAAAGTTACCGATACATTCCGAATGATATTTCCAGACATTTCCATTGGTCACTTGTATAATCGATTATTTTCCATTGTAGAATATTTATTTAAACATAAAAATATCACGTTATTCTTTTTTTGTGCCGGTATACTGACCATTTACGCTTGGCTACAATATTAATTTAAATGCTTCAGTACAAGACACCAATAAAAGCCTCTTTATTGAACGATTGTGTAAAATCAGGCAAATTAATGATATTTGCCTATTAACGAAATTAATTTCGATTGTAAAATTTATAACAAAGCTAAAATATGTTTTCATTACTTTTCTTAATACTTTGGTAGAGGCAAAATTATAATAGCATTTGATTGAATAAGATACCATTTAGTGCATTACTTTATTTTTCATTATCTGAGCATCACATGTGTATGAAATCAATATGTAAAATTTGTAAAGGCACAGTGACTTCTAAAAGAAAATACTTTAAAGCCTTTGTATTTATTTATTCATTGAATTAGACGCATGCGTTTATTTATCAGTTATATGAAAATTTCATTTTTTTTCAGGAACAATTGGTACTCAGCCTTTGTGACAATATGGATGACGAACCAACGAAAACCATTACCCTTAAAAGGCAGGTCTATACACTTGATGCATACACTGAAAAATACAACGATAGGAGAGAAAATTCTAGTGTCTTTGACGAAATCAAGAAATCCATGACATGTTCGAGAAGAAAAGTCGGAAAGATTCTTGGATCCTACCTTCCAGTTGTTGGATTTATACGTCAGTACAAGTTGAAGCAATATATTCTTGGAGATGCTTTGTCCGGCCTCACAGTCAGCTTTATGCACCTTCCTCAAGCAATGGGATTTGGCATTCTTGCTTCTCTGCGACCAGTCCATGGCTTATATTCTACATTCTTTCCGGTGCTTGTATATCTATTGTTTGGAACGTCGCCTTATATATCGTTTGGAACCAATGCTGTAATGGCATTGCTTACACAGACGGTGGTAGAGAGAGAAGCTGATTCTTTCACTGCGGCGTTTAAAAGTGACAATAACGGAACAAGTCCTACTGAAGACGAGATTATGGACGTTAAAATCGGTGCTTCAATGGCGTGTTGTGCGCTTGTTGGTATAATTTTAATGGCTATGGGACTTCTTAAACTTGGGATAGTCACCACATATTTGTCTGTTTCCTTTGTTGGAGGATTTACTACCGCAGCTGCATTCCACATCGCGTCCAGCCAAGTGCCTAAGATATTTGGAATTAAGGTCAAGACTTTTGCAGGAGCAGGAAAACTGGTGCTTATGTATATAGATTTATTCAGTAAAATTGCAGACACGAAAGTAGTTGAAATAATTATAGCAGTTATTTGTTTGATTGTTTTGCTTGTTGTAAAGATATGCATCAACGAACGATTCAATAAAAAGATGAAAATGCCAATTCCAATTGACCTTATTGTGGTAGTTATTGCGACATTCATATCACATTTTGCAAAGTTTGAGGATAAATTCGATGTAAAAATTGTTGGTGAAATACCAAGCGGTTTCACAAGTCCAGCTGTACCCGACTTCAGTAACGCAAGCAATTACATGAGCGACGCTTTTGTTATGGCGATATTGTCACTAGCTATGAGTATTTCAATGGCAAAACTTTGTTCAAACAAACACGGTTTACCAATTGATGATAATCAAGAACTAATTGCATACGGTGCTGCTAATTTTGTGTCAGGTTTCTTCCATTGTTTCCCACAAGCTACAGCGCCACCTAGGACAATGATTCTGAGTTCGCTTGGTGCTAGGACGACGCTTAATGCCATCGCTACTTCCGTATTTTTCCTGTTGGTTATTCTTGTCATTGGACAGTTATTTGTGTCACTACCACTAAGTGTTCTCGCAGCAATGATTATAGTTTCCATGAAAGATCTTCTTCTACAGTACAGAAACCTACCACGAATTTGGAAGATAAACAAGTATGACTTTATCATTTGGGTTGTGACAAACTCTGTTAGTATTCTCGTTGACTTGAACTACGGTATCATTGCTGGGGTTGGAATTTCAATATTTCTTACCGTGATAAATGACCAATTAACAACCGGACATTTGATTGGCCTGTCAAAGGCTGAAGACATCATGATAAAATATACAGACAATACACAAGTAAGGGAAATAAGCGGAGTGAAAATCTTTAAAATTCCAACAAATTTGTACTTTGCAACGGCTGAGAGAATGAAATTTCAGATCTTTCGAAAAATTTTGAATCCAAAAAAGTTCCTGAAGAAAATGCAGAAATTGGAAAATTTGGCCAAGATAGTTGATGAGGAAAGCATTGGTGTAGAAAAGAATAATTCTTTCGAAAATGGTGGGAAATATACTGCAGATCCTATGGACGTGAAATTGAAATCTTTGGTTCTTGACTTTTCGAAGGTGCACTACATCGATATGGCAGGAATAGCTGCCCTTCAACAAATCATCAAAGAGTACAAGACGGTAGACGTCAAAGTTTACTTCGTTGCAATCTCGGAAAACGTTGGTAAAACTTTTGAAGCTAGCGACTTTTTCGAGTCCTTTCCTCGGAGTAGCGTCTTCGTTGATGTGTTTGATGCAGTGTCAGTACTCAGTTCTCAAGTTGTTGTGTCTGTTTCTACATCAAAAATATGAATAGCGGCATACTTCAAAATTAGATAAAGAAAAATGAGATAATAAATATGCTTTCAACTTAACTCGTTATCTCGTTTACATATAACCTTACCATTCAAGGATTTTTGCTTTTTGTTCCAGTCAGCAAAGCAAAGACATATTTACTATGTACAGTATTTTATTTCAGTAAAATATATATTATTAATTATATCAATTTTTATAATAGATGTATGGCGCATTTACTTTGCTTAACTATATTATTTGTTTATATTATCTCGTTTACACATTAACTTACCATTCAAAGATTTTTACTTTTTGTTTCGGTCAGCAAGGCAAGAAAATGCACTTTGTATCTTATTTCAATTAAATACATGTATGTATATATTTCTTTCGAGACTATTCTTATTGTAAATGTATGTTCATTGCTTAGCTATATCGTTTGTTATAATACATAAAAAAGTGACAAGTTGTTTGATTGGTTAGATTTTACCGCCTATTTTTATATAATTACTCTTTGCTCATATTTTGGTAGTCTGTATACCTTACCGGCTCTTTATTAATTAGAACCAGTAATTACAATTCTCAACAAATGCTCGACTACTAATTCTTTATAATGATTTCTAAATCAGCGGTGAGAGACAGCAATGTCCGATATTAACTGCCACCAAGAAATATTGCTCTTTTAGCTAGCAGCCTCTTGATAACAAACTTTTGTCTTTTAGTTTAGTGCCTTTTGCCTAAAATGTAATTATTTAAAAAAAAAACATTAAACTGACAAAATGTGTGCTTTAAGATTACATTGATGTGTTAAAGAGTCTGTATGTTGTAATTAAGGTAATTTCCACATTTAAGTGAACTTTTATATTTGTGAACAAATATGGTTCTAAAACTATTTTTTCAAACATCGAAGAATATGTAAATTATGTACTGCAAATATTTGTCTACATTATATGTTAAAATTAAAATATATGCATTCATTTCTTATTGAAAAAAATGACTTAGACTTTATAGATAATAAATTTCTAATTAGCACTCTTAATTTACATGAAATGTAAATTTGGTAATATCTTTACAAATAATGCTTTTTGGAATATGATAAATCTTCATTTGAGCATTATAATTATGATATAAAAACATAAATATTGAGTTAAAGGATCTTGAAGTGTATAATTAAATGTACATGTTTATGAATTTATATTAAATATATAAAGTTATATGAAAGTATGTTTTTATGTTCACTTTTGTATTAAATAGACGCAAGATTATTATACTTACAAAATATGTTTAAAATGCAAAAACGTTTTAATAACAATCATTTAACACTTTTTCTTTCTAGCAAAGGCATACATGTACGAATATATATATATTCAATGATCTAGCAAAGGGTCTGAAATCGTAGTTCAAAGGTACAGTTTACAAAATAATTTATTAACATAAATAATGTAATAATGCATCATCAAAATGCATATAAAATGCTTTTCCAATAATATATTTCTAATGAATTATTAATATTCTTTAAAGACTATGTCACGTGTCATTTATAAGCCGTTAGTAATAATTTCAGAACGTTACTTTAAATCAACAGAATATCATAATTCCATAAATAACTCTGTTTTTCGTGTACATGTACATTTTACATTCTTGATGCCTTTTTGGATTTTTACAAAGTTAATCCCAGGCTGAAATAAATAAAAATAACGTAGTTTAATATCTTGACTCTAAAATACAATTTACGAAGCGTTTCTCCATTTCTATAATTGTTGGTGAGATTCCTAAAATGGTAAAACTGTCGAAATTGAGTTCCACAAAACAATGGCAATTTTGTGTAAGTATGCAGAAATGATCCTTATTGAATATATAAATATTCAAGGCAATCTTATTTTACCTTTAACCTGCTTAGTTTGTGTAATGGATGTACACAGTTTCAAACCATAAGGATTTCAATAGCAAATACAAATACTTAAACAAGAAGCATCTTTAAAGATAGGTACTCGGCCGAACTAAAACTGATTTATTTGCATATCATATCTTAGCAAACATGGAAAAAGAATCATAAGAATTATGATATTGAGTCTAGTATTGAATTTTACGTTTAAATTTTTGAAATATTAAAATCATATGCATATGTTGGCAAATACAAAGTATTTTAATAGAAACAAAATCTTAAGTCTGAAGTAAATCCTTTAAAGTAAAGAAAAAGTTGATAAAAACTACAATCAAAACAATTGATTCCGTAAAATTAAATTTTATCGTCTCAGTTCATTTTACCGTCATGTAATTCTTTTATTTCTATTATTGTGAATGTCGTTTTGACTCAAAGAAAAAACATTTAAATTTTCGAAGTTTGTTCCAATCGAAATTTTAATTGAAAATTTATAATTGACAACGTTTTGCTGATACAAAATTCTCGAACCAACAGATTTGCAACACCTTTGGAAATAACAAAAGAAATCTAAAATCCGGAAAAGTACCAAAAGAGAGCATTCTTATCTTAAACACTTTGGCATTTATGATAAGCAAACCATTCAATCATTAGCGGTTAAATTAATTCTTCATAAATATGTAAAATACATGATAATTATAAACTTTGTATATAACTGATAATACCAGAAAGGTTCGTATTCTTGTGTGCTTTTCGCTATTTTCATGCGCATGTGTAAATGGGAAAGTGGGCGAAGTTGAAAGTGATGGTTTTCAATAATTTTTGACAAAATCTATATCTCGATCGTTAAAACAGCGTAAAATAATCTGTAGGATGTATGGCAATATAGAACTTATAATGTTTAAGAGAAGGCATAGTTTAACAGAACTTACGTATCTGAAATTTAAAAATGTACTAAAGTCATCCTTGAGTCCCAGAAATTTATTGAAACTATTGAATTTTTTATTGAATATGTCTAATTTGAATAAAAGAATTAATGAACTATGCATAAGAAGCTGCGTTCTCTATTATGGGACAAGCAAAGTTGATCCTTTCTTTAAAAACTGCCAGTTTTTAAATGACACTATATATCAATATTGTTACCACCTTATTTGTTATTGTCCTATATAGTGTATAGAACTTTGAACTTTGTGTCAAGTCAAAAGAGACTTTTTACCAATAATAAAAATTTATTATTTAAAATTTGAGCATATTATATCTTTAACTTGAAAGTAACAGAACTTATGAATGTAGATATTTCGTTTCCTGACTCCTTAAAATCAATTAAGTATCATATCAGATCACTTCATATTATTTTGCTCATTTTACAATGGCCAATCAGATTCCGAGATTTTAGATTGTTATTTTAAAATGATAAATTAAAAGGAGGATTACAGTTGCGCTCAAAATAGAGTCGGTTAAAGTGACCTCCCCTGAAAAATTGTAAATCGTAAGGGTTCTAAAGGGAGGTAACTGTTGCGTAAAAAGTCGGTTAAGTGACCTCCCTTGAAAACATTGCAAATGTCATAAGGGTTCAAAGGGAGGTGAATGTTGCACATTAAAAGGTAAGTTGGTTAGAGTGACCTCCCCCGAAAACATTGCGAATGGCGTAAGTGTTCAAAAGGGAGGTGAATGTTGGGCTTTAAAAGAATAGGTTAGAGTGACCTAAAAGATATTTGCATGATTGCATATAAGAAGTTTTAAAAACTTTTTTGTTCTGTATTTAGTGTTTTTAATTTCCTCCTACATATGGTTTTATTTCTGAACTCCTTATCATATATTATTTTTCTTAATTAGGTCATTAAAATCTGGACCAAAACGCCTTTGTTAACGTTGTCATTATTTAAGAGATTTTCGACCATGCGACCACATACATGCATCGAAGACATGTTTGAAGGAAAATGACCGTGCGACAACATACACGCATCACAATATTCCCCTTCTCTTACGAGGGACAAAGAGTTGTCCGCCCTTTATTAAAGGGCCGACTAAAAAAATATGCCATTGCCTTATGTTATTGATAAGGAGGCTTATTTTCACAGATATGTCTTGAATTGGTTTATATACAACAGTAGTAACGCAAACTAAGCGGGTTTTCAGTTTGCCTCTTTTTAAGTCCGCTACGAAATTTTAAAAGGATAATATATAACTTCTTGGAAAAATTTGAGTTTTAAGTTTTTTCTACTTATCATCTTATCCACAACTGATAGACGCTGATATTGTAAGATAATAGCTTCCAGTTGAAATATTAAACTTTGGATTATGTTGTTTCGTTATCTATTAGCTTTTTATATACTATTATACCAGCTAAGTTCGTATTTTTGTGTGCTTCTCGCATTTTAAACGGGAAAGTGGACGTATCTTGTGGTTACGCTTATGTTTGTCAAAATCGTTAAAACAGCGTAAAATAATCTGCAGGAAGCATGGCAATATAGAACTTATAATGTGTAGGAGAAGGCATGGTTATAAAGAACTAGGGTTTCTGAAATTTAACTTGATAGTAAAAGAACTTACGAAAGTAGATAGTTCGTTTCTAGACTCCTTTAGATCAATCAAAAATAAGACGCGTATACCATTTCATAAAAAAATCCTTTTACTAATTTCACAATTAACAATCAGATTCCGAGATTTCAGATTGTAATTTTAAAATGACCAATGAAATTTTTAAATAAATTCAGTTCTTCCTTGTAAATTTAACAGGAAGTCAATCTGAAAACAGGCCGGCCTTTGGATATACAGAAATTACACATTGCCGATCAAAAATGCGAACATGCAACTCGGGCATTTTGCGACCATTTCCCAAGGGTTGCAGCTTTAGACATTATATCACTGTAAAAATAAGACATTAATACATGTCACGCGGGGCTTTAAAGTGATAATCTCCCCTGAAATGGATAATGCCCTCGGACTGAAGCCTTCAGGGGCCATTGTTCATTTTGCGATTTTTAGCGTGATTTTAAACCAGGAATTTCGTCTCTTTCCATTCCCTAATGATGTTAGACAAATATTGCGTTTTCCCATGCATATTGGCCTTATCACGAAGGCTTTTCTTGAACTAATTTCCTTAATTAACATAGAATTATCCTATATCGTGCATGAAAAAAAAAAAAAAAAAAAAAAAAAAGAAAAGAAAAACATTAGTCAAACTATGTAAACTCTTTAGGATTAGAATTTTGATCAAAAGTATAAATTTTGTATCTTAACAAACGAAATATAACGTTGTGATAGATTAACGAAAGAAAAAACTATTACATGTATTCTAATTGTTATTATTTGTAAAATATAATATAGTAGGAGTAGGAAAAGGAGGGGTGGTACGAGTAAAATTAGCCGTAGCCGTGGTCGTTGTGATGGATAAACAAAACAAAAACTATTACATGTTATTATTATGAAATGTTAATACATGTAATAAAGAAGGAGGAGAAAACGGAGAATGAGTGGTAGAGGTATAATGTAGGGGTAGGTAGTGGAGGTATTGGAGGTGGTTGTGGGAGAAGTTGTCAGTAGTAGTAAGTAACAGTAGTAGTAGTAGTAGTAGTAGTGGCAGCAGTAGCAGTAGCAGTAGCAGTAGCAGCAGCAGCAGTTACAGTAGTGATGATCAATATCATTATTAACATTTTTTTTCTAAATAATCATTTTTCATATCATTTTCATCATCAACGGCCC